CACACCGATGGGATTTCGTAGGGAAGTGCCAATTTACTCTGCTTATCTCTTCCTCGCTCCTCTGGAGATGAGAGCACATTCTTTACTCCCCTCCCACCATTCCAGTCCATCACACTTCTCATCCTTTTAGACCTTGCAGCAGCCTTTGATACTGTCAACCATGATTGTCTCTTGATGGGGTAGTGCTGTTCCTGAAGGAGGAGGTTGTGACTTGTTGGGGAGGGGGGTCCTCCTGGACTCAGTTGCTTCTGGATGGACAGTTGAAGGCCTGACATGGGACTTTGCCTAGCTCCAACTGGTATACCAGTTATGACCCTACCTGCAGCAAGAGGAGCTTGTAACAATAATTCATGCCATTGTCACCACTCACTTGAATTACTGCAGTGTTCTCTATTTGAGGCTGCTTCTGAAGGTTCAATTAGTGCATAACACAGCAGCCCAGGCATTAGTTGGCACTTGTCACCATGAAGGTCTTATACCTATGCTGGCCCTGCCCTGTCTTCCTATTAATTTTTGGGTACAATTCAGAGTGCTGGTTATTACCTATAAAGCCCTGTGTGACTTGGCACTGAAGTACTTACAGGACTGCCTCTTCCAATCGGAATTGACTTACCTGACCCATATGTCCTGAAAGGAACTACTGAAGATCCATCATTTCCAAAAGATACAAGGTGTATATGGAGGCTTGTAGGTGCTGCTTCACAGTAACAGCAGCTATTTTATGGAACAAACTCCTCTCAGAAACTAGGTTGGCCTCCACTATCCTGGCCTTCCAGAAGCTTTTGAAAACTAAGTTATTCTGGAGAGCCTCTGGTGAACATCCAGTTGATTTTTTATGATTTTATGGTTTTAGAACTTAATTTTTCTAGTTCCTACCACAGACATTTTAATTAAATGCTTTGTCGCTTGTTATAGTTGTGAATCTCTGAGAGTCTTGTGATTGCAATTAAATACAATATATAAATTAATAAAAATGGTATGGCCAGTTACCCTGTTTTATTTACCCCTTTAATCTCTTTCTGGAGTTATTTATGCTCTTGATAAATCAGTGCTTTATAAAATCACAGTTTTTGTCTCTTTGTCTTTGATTAATATTAGAAACATACAATATGTTATGAGATTGACCCCCTAACATTGAATCCCCAAACTGGGGGCAAAGATCTTTTCCCTACTCACTCCACTAACTATATTCACTAATTGACCTTTTGGAAGACATTGAAAACAGAATGTTTACAAAGAGCAGTTAATCTCCAATGCCATTGGAGTGGTTCCTATGGGAGGGCTTTTATTATAATTTTAATGGAAGGCTGGTTATCCACTGAAGATGGAGCAGACAACAAATGCATTAAGACTCCTGCATCTTGGAAGGTAGCCTGTCTTGACTCAGCTTTGTGTTCTGATAATGAGGAGAGGCTTTTCTTTCCTCTCAGCTTCATTTCAGTCAAAAGGTAGTAGACTTCACCCTCATTTGACAAAGATTGAGATCTAATTAGGAAATAACAACAAGGAGCAGAGGGTAGAGGGGAGCAGCTTTATCAGTCTCTAAAGTAGATGGTGATATTGCTTTTTGCTCTCTCCACTCCCAACCTGGCTGGCTCCTTTTCTTTACCCTTTTTGCTGTATTGAGTTGGTGTACATTTTCTGTCAGAGATCCTGTACAAAATCACTTTAGGTGGTAGAACAGCCACAAGGAGAGCCTTTTCAATAGTAGCATGATTGACAGGAGCCATCCAGTAGGTCATAGACTTACCTTTAACCTTAGCCACCCTCTGGAAGTTCCACAAATCTGTAGGCTGATATGAGCCATAGATGCAGTAGTATGTTGAAGCCTGAACATCATTAATTGCAGTAACCTATTCAGTATATACTATAGTCCCTTCTTAGAGGATAATAAATGATTGTATTATTGATCAAGATCCTGCTAAATACCGGCCTTCAGTAAGTAAGAAGGAAGGAAGCCAGCAGCTTCTTTTTGACCCAGAGAGTGGGCTACCAATCCTTTTCCTTTCAGAGGTAGTCAGAGATGCATTTGCTGGGGTAAATAGGATCAGCAGTACAGATATTTCAATGGTGACCTAGGCAAAGTGGTCAAACCAACAGAAATGATATCAAATTTACTCCAGGAATCATTAGGCGGATTGGCACCTAGAGCAATTTTGGGGCTATTGGAATAGCCTTGTAGAGAAAAGAGGGTGTTTGACTCAGTCAGTTAGAGATTTGTTCTAATGTTCAGACAGTCAGTTCTCAAATTCAAAGTGCTGGTTATTACCTTTAAAGCTCTACATTGCACAGGGCCATGTTATTTGTGGGACTGCCTTTCCATGAGGGTACCTGCCTGCCCCATCAGGTTAGATAGGATGGGCATGTTCTAGCTCCCTTCCCTTAAATCCAGTGGGACCTAGGAAGCATGACTTTTCCATAGCAGCCCCTGTCCTGTGAACTCCCTTCCCCCTGGGATCCAGCAGGCCCCCAACCTTTTAGCATTCTGGCAAGCTGTAAAAGGTTGGCTCCCCCCCCCACCCCCGGGGCATTGGATAAGGTGAGGTTGGAGCCTGAGGATTGTGTTGTTTGATGGATTGGAGATTGTTGGTTAGGTGTGAGGTTTTACATTTTTACTGTGTTGGGTTTTTTTATTGTTTTGAGCCACCCAGAGTTGTGTTGAGCTGTATTTCATAAGATGGTCTATATATGTAAGGGAGGGATGGAGGGAAGGACGGAAGGAAGTTGTACTGGATAGTTTTATTGGATTTGGAAAAAGCTAGAGAAGGTAAAAGTGACTGGAGATATATATAGATATATTGAAAATCCTTTTCAGCCTATAAAAAGCTAAAGAGAGCACAGCTGATGATAAAACATCTTTAACTATGCTGTATTGTGTAAGAATTCTCCAAGAATTCTGAGAATATAATCCTTGTGGACTCTCTTAGCATGCTAACATAATAGCTAGAAAGTCTAGCCTATTCCTGTAGTACAGTGTTTCTTAACCTTGGCCGCTTGAAGATGTGTGGACTTCAACTCCCAGAATTCCCCAGGCAGGCTGGCCGGGGAAATTTTGGAGGTGTAGTCCACACATCTTCAAGCGGCCAAGGTTGAGAAACACTGGTGTAGTAGGTCCTCAATCCATAAGGCAGTTTTATTTTGATGCATATTTTTCGTCTGTATATTATAAATGCTGCTTCAATAATTATGAGGAGATATTAAGATATAGATACATAGTTTATATAGCTGGTTTCCAAGACCTACAGTAATTCTATCGGCAAGGATATCTATCAGTGCCTGAAAGGGCTGTCTGTCTGTTTTGGGCTTTCAACCTAAAATTATTTTTTCTCTCTTCCAGAATATTGTGGCACTTTCTGTTATCCAAATGTTTCTCAGTCTCCTTATTTACGAACTGTAGGAGAAAAACTGCTACCTGCAATTGATGTACTATGGACAGGTGAGCATCAGAATTCCAGTCTAATTTGAGCAAGGATCACCATCTTAATTCAGCCTTTTTAAATGAAAGTTTTAGTGCAATTCTTAATTCTTTTAGATTATTCTTACTTTTGAATAATCTGTATGCACATTTCTGAATCCATCTATTTCCATTATAGGTCCCAAAGTGGTATCTAAAGAAATTTCAGTGGAGTCTATTGAAGAGGTTTCAAAAATAATTCGCAGAGCTCCTGTTATCTGGGACAACATTCACGCTAATGACTATGATCAGAAAAGACTGTTCCTTGGGCCGTATAAAGGCCGATCAACGGAACTCATCCCACGCTTAAAAGGGGTCCTGACCAATCCGAATTGTGAATTTGAAGCTAATTTTGTTGCAATTCACACTCTTGCAACTTGGTACAAATCCAACATGAATGGAGTGAGGAAAGATGTTGTGATGAGTGAGTTGATTGGATAATGCACACTGTCTTATGGAATAATGTTTATAGGAAGATTTACATCCAAATCAAATTGCTTTCCTTAGGAAATATGATGCATTATCTAACATGATAGCATATTGTCAATAGTCATCAGGGAGAATTTTGCAATACAGTTAATAATTAAAAGGATTGCTAACTTTGAAATACTGAAGGTTATGGTAAAGAGTGAAATACAAAGATCAGAAAGGGGAATCTGACCATCCAGGTAATGCTGAATTAAAATACGTAGCATCACCTGGCCATACTGGCTTGAAATTGTACATAACATCTGAAGTATAGTGGTTCCCCACAGCCAATATTAATGGAGCTTTCAAATGTTGACAGAAAAGAATAATGAAAGGAAAAAAAGCAAAAGAAAAGAATAGATTAAATGCTGTTGGTGATCATGATTACAGTTTAGATACTGGTTTCTTATTAGATCAATCATTTGACAAAGGTGCAGTTTAGAAAATTCTTAGGCTTCTAATGTCCAGCTGGGATTTCTAACCAAAGTGATCAAGAATTGATTTTTGTGCAAAACACCAAATTAATTGTGTGTGTTCTGGAATTATTAATTTGAAGCAAACCTCATCTCCTAGCTGCTTGTAGGACATCTTGCATGACCAGTTTTGATCATTTTAATGGCAAGGTCAGACTTCAGAATAATTTCTAGTTATGTTACTTCAATGCAGAATTATATTAATCTTCTTAAAATAGTGGGTGGTATTAACAATGATTAAAGCAGTTCTATTTAAACCCAAACATGGCAATTTTGATTCTTGCTTTCACTATTTAATATGCTGTTTCCTGTTCTTTTCTGCAGCTGACACTGAAGACAGTACAGTATCAATCCAGATTAAACTGGAAAATGAAGGAAGTGATGAAGATATTGAAACAGATGTTCTTTATAGCCCACAGATGGCTTTGAAGTTGTCATTAACAGAATGGCTGCAGGAATTTGCAGTACCCCATCAATATAGCAGTAAGAAAGATTTATAGTTTTGTTACAGCTTGAAGCATTGGATGGAATGAAGAATGTACTTCAAATGAACTATGATTTCCATGCTCTCGGGAAAAAAATGCTAAAGGAAATTCCTCTGCTGCTATTTTAGTTTCAAATGATAAATTATTTATTTTGGATTATGTTTATATCCTGTTTTCCCACTGGGAATCTTAAGGGAGCATACATGGAGATCTTTCACTTTATCTCATAACAACACGGTTAAGAAAGGTTTGATTGGGATATAGTGAATGATTTAAAGTCATCTAGTGAGTTACATGTTCAAGTGGGCACTTCACTCTTTGTCTCAAAATTATGTCTACCACTCCAGAGAAAAAAAAGTAACAAATACTAAATAGATGAACTAAAATATGTCCTCAAACTCCTTAGTACTTAGTCTTTCAACTAAAACCCAGATTAGAAATCCAAGTATTGTTATCTAGACTCAGATTTAAAGCCATATCATTTACATATGTATTATTGTAACCTGTTGCAGTTTGCAAAATACTTTGAGCTCAGAACACCAGCTTGGGGTGTGCTGTGTTGTGTGTGTTCTGTATTCTTAATTTTATCCAAACCTTAACTTTTCCAAGCCACTGAGACACAAAGATTTGATTTAAACAGGTTATGTCAATGCTGCCATGCCCCAGAACTAGTTGAAGGGAGTGTGGAGGCAAAGGAGATTCAGTTAAGCAGTTTTATTCTAAGAAAAAGACTTCTATCTATCTGGTACTTTTGTTTGATAGATTTATATCCTGCCTTCCCCTCAAAAGTTCAGGGCGGCTTATGTGAGGATCGTCCTTCATTTTATCCCCACAATAGCAGCTCTATGAGATAGGATGGGCTGGGAGATCTAGTGAGTTTCTGGGGCTCAAGGGAACTTGGGTGTTCCCAATCCTAGTTTGAAATTATAACCACATGTATACCACAATAACTTTCCTGATAACGGGTTTATGGGTTGTAATATAATGATCCTTTAGTCTTCTCTGTGTTGTGCTTTCTTTTTTGGGCAGGTAGCCAAATGCAAAAATAAGCAGTATGGTGTTTTTTTAGTTCACCTTTGTAGGCAGGGCTAAGTGCAGAAAGTAGGCACTGTGTAAGAATATGCATGAGGAAAAAGCTTCAAGCAAACAACCAGAGAAATGTAGTTCTGCTGTTACCATATTACTGAAGGTCATCATTGAAATGGTTACAGCTTCTTTGCTGGACCCAGTTCTGCAGCTGTTTATACAGGTGCTGGCTGCAAAAACTGCTCAGCTGTTTCTAACACTGTTGGTCTGGGAATTCTAAAAATGTTTACATTTTGTTTAAAAATATATCTTTGGTAAGGTTTCTGCAGAATTAGAGATAGAAACACTTGACTTTGCAGTCCAAGGACAAACAGTGAGGAAGTTTGTTTTGAGTTGCCCTTGTTTTCTATGGTAGAACCATGCAAAATATTTTGAATTTTATTTGAACTGGGGTTTTTTTTATTAATTTTTTATTAATTAAAAAAGGAAAGAAAAACATAAAAGTGCTTTAACATAAAAGTGAATATAGCAACAGCAAAAAGTACATCATAATAGTACACAGTTCCAATTCTTTATATGCTTATCTAATACAAATATTATTCAAGTACATATATATTTCTAATAGAATTATATGACTATCCTGTTTTGTTTTGTTTAACCCAGTGTATTTTGTATAAATTAGTCCCTTATTTCATTATACAGTGGAACCTCGGTTTATGAACTTAATTCGTTCTGTGACTCTGGTCGCACCCCGAATT